GTAGGGAAAAAGGGACTGCTAACAAGCACCGATCGAGCAACTTGGTCTCGTTTGCAAGCAAGTATGCTGTGTGAGCATAAAACCAACTCCCGCTGCAAAAAAATTAAATGTAAGAGGCACTGCTATAAAAGTATATATTCTTCAGAGAATGGTTCGCTTAAAACTGAAGCAGTATGCTAACAAACAAAATGAACTTCTAGCAAATGAATGTATTGGGGTGAGTGTTACTCCAAACAATAAAAATACAATTTAGCATATTTTACTCGGTTCAAAGTGTAAATATCAAGCAATAATAGGAAAAAATTCACCCTGAAGTCTCAACAAGGATGCAGGAGGAAGTTCGAGAGAAGTTAAAAAATAAAGAAGCAAACACAGACCTGAAAGAACACTTTCAACATGGTATTTTCTTTGCTGACTTGACTACATAATACTGGGTAAAAATATCCCTAGCAACCACTTTGCTGTTACTGAGAAAGTTACCTTTATTTTTTCACGTCTAACAATTCTTTCACAAAGAAGACGCAATCTCTCCAGTTGACCCTATAGAAATAAATTTAAAAACAAAGTTAATTAGGTCACCGTAATTCTACCCCTAAGAATATGATTAAATCTTGACTATAGTACAAATGCAAACAGAAACAAAGAAAGTATTGGCTATGAACTTCCTATAAACACAAGACGATTCCTTCACAATCAATGCACATGACATTAGGAAAAATTGCTTAATGTTTCATCAGATTGGAAAGAAGCAAAGCCATAGATTTAAATCAACCTCATGAACCAGTAGCAAGAAAAATAATTTCACCACCCCGGCTTTCATAGAAAATAAGACCTCAAACACAAAAAAAAAAAAAAAAATCACTTTAAAAGAAATAATGTCGTGACCAATGTAAAATATTATAAGAAATAAGTTGGCTGGGTCATACGACTTAGAATTACTTTAAAAGAGCAATGATCTTATGCAGTATATGCCAAGAGGATAGACATGTACACAACATCTATGGCATTAAAAGTTATCAGAAAGACATTCTTCTATTCAATTTTACAATTCAAAATAGGAGACCAGTTCCAAGGAAATAGACCACTGTAAACATACAAAAGTCATTAGCATATATAGTAGAACCAATCTTGGAACAAGAAACAATAGACCTGAGTAAGCATTAACATCCACCTGAATGAAGATTACATGATTAATCAGAGTGCATGCTTACCCTGACTTGCCTCATGCTCTTTATCTCCTCTTCTCCATGTTTTTGAGTTCCGTTCTACATAAATCAAGCAATGGAAAATTATAAAATGACAATCCATCAATACTTTTTAGGTACAAACAACAAATTCAGACCTTTGCCTTCTGCTCCAAGCTATGCTTTTCACAATATGCCATGTGCTGCATCTTGCCATTAAGAGTCTTAACATTCATGTAGAAACCCGCACTTCTAGCACAAGTTGGATGAAATGTGGTCTGACAGTGACCAGCGCTACACTGCATAAAACCATTAATATTTATTACATGACTTGATGCTATAGAAAAGAAAAGGATAAGTTCTGAAACAATCAAAGCTGGAACTCACTTTTATGCAGACACCATGTCTATGACGGCAGACACAACAAATGTTAATCTCCTTAGCAATCGTTTCCTGGAATTACATTGCAGATGGTAGCAAATGTCAGATAAGAACAATACAAGAATGGTCATAAACATGCCCAGTCAGAAAAAAAAACAAGTTAAATTAAAAATATTACATTCCACCCCAAGAAATCTTCAGAAATGTATTCAAAACTCAATGGACTTGAAAATTTTGACAATATGGCCACCTAAAATATGCACATACCATTCCTTCAACAGGATTGACTTGTCCCCTTCTGAATGTTGGTTCAAAGACCCACTAAAAGAAAAAATAGAAAAATAATCATAATAGTATTTCAACAAAGATAAGAAAAAATAATCATGAATTGGCCATTGAAGGATCAAAGCAAAAAATCAACCTCTGCACAAAAGGCATGAACCCATCTACCATCAGTAGATTTCCTGAAAGCACCAGTAATACCACCACATAAACCACATTCCGCACTATTTGCCCTGTCCCAGAAATTGACAGGAGCTCCAGAGCATCTAGATGACAATAATTCTTCACATAATTCACAATGCCATGGACCATTAGATTCCTTCGCACAACGATAGCAATCCAAGTGAACCTCAACCTGTTGGCATAAAAGCTTTTGTTAACAAGAAGTAAGCAGATTGTGCACCCTTAACAGAAAAGATAGTCCATTCTAGAAAACCTTGCAGCCAGAGCAGACTAGGATGTGGTTCAGTATTGTCTCAAATCGTCTGCATATGTCACATAATCTAGGATGATCTCTAGAAAAACCTGAAACTGACTGAACAAAATCAGAGTACTTCTCTAATGAAATCCTTGGAATAGCCACCCTTGAAAGCATTTCTTGTGGACGTGGCATCAACAGAGAAGAAATGCCAGCCCTAACACTAGCAGTGTTATATTTCTGGAACCAAATAAAAATGATAAGACAGATTACTGCATCGAATAATTGCAAGCTTTCTTTTAAAGGCAAGAAAAAAAATCCAAAAGTGAATGAAAAAATTACCTCCTGACAGGCAGATTCATCAAAGGCATCTTTCCTAAATGATGAAGACCGAGAGGAAGCTGCTGCTGCTGCAGTTGCAGCAGCTAGAACAGCCTGGGCTTCCTTACGCCTTCTTTCTTTCCTGCCCCGCTTCTTTGCTTCTCTAACATCACAAAGATACCGGCTAATAAGCACTTCATCCCACCTTTTCCCCCTAGCTGCATCTATCTCCTGGGGTAGATGCCTGGCAACCTTAGATATTAAATTATCTGCAAGCACATTTCATCAGATAAAAAAATGTCATGTAGATGTACATATCAATATGAAGCTACCTTTTTCTTCAATAATTTGGAATGGAATATGAGAATAGTGCAAGAACAGGAAGGTGAAAAAAGCGAGTCAGCGTATCACAAATAAAAAAGATGAAAGATAAAGGCGAAAAAGGAAAGGACCAGTGAAGTGCTTCCTTGCAACTGCATTGCCGAGTAGCCTCTTCTGAAAATAAATAATTTCTCCTTCCACTTCATCCACCGGAGACAGTTTGAGAATTCCCAGTTTCTTAGCCTTAGCCAACCGCTCTAAATTTACTTCACTGGAATTACAGATCAAGTCATTGCATTTTGAGTGTTTATTCTGATGATTACAGAAGATACTGGAATTGGAAGAGGCCTCCAAATGAGAGATTTCTGTATCTTTTGAACCTGTCCAGTTAGGTTTACACATAATAAAATGGTAAAAGAGCTTACAATTATAAGCAATAAAACAGAACTACAATTCTTGACCATAAAATTCATGTTAGCGCAACTTCTACCTTCAAGTTCAGAAATTCCTTTCTGTAAAAGCATTCCAATTTGTATCTGTGACAGCTTCTCATGGACACATGAATGGACATAAAAATTAGAATATTCTTCTGGTTTTCTGCAGCAAGAAATATATAATTTTGCATAAGAACTCATCAGATATTGTTAAATCAGTGTCCACTAATGAAAATAAAAACTTTTTAGAGCTTCCAAAAAGTATCAGGCAGCACAAAATTCTGCATTAAAGAGCTTTCAAAAAATTTACATGAAATTAGGGATGACTAAATTAACATCCGAATAAAGAGGAACTCCCCCATCTGTGTTAATTGAATTGCTCTTCTCCGGAATAGCTGCATGAACTGGCTCGATTTTCTCAGAAAGGCTTCCACCTGAGACATTATCTGAACTGCCTGAGCAACATAAAAATGCCAACATATTCACTTTCATACAGAAGGGGAAATCGGAAAATACATGAAAATTATGTCCTGTTTTCTTTTCTTTCTACCATTTGCTTTTGGTAATATTAACAGAAATCTCAGGCTTTTAATATCACTAAATCACATCAAGTAACATTTGAACTAAGGAGCAAACAATGCTTGACAACTGAAATAAAAAAATAAAATAAATAAATTCTTCATATGCATATCGTCAGCTGTGAAGAGAGAAAGGAATAGATGAGAATGAAACCTCACTTCCTCAATATGAGATGCATACTTGTCATCCTTCTAGAATAAAAAGAAACACTAGGGGTTTCTGACCCCTCCAGAAGGACAGCAAGCCTCCTCAAAATTCCCCCACTATCATACTCCCTAGCGAGTGAAAACAAGAGAGAACAAAATATTTAATCCCATAACAATTACCTCATGATTGATCCTAGAGGATCCTAAAATTCCAATCCCCCTCCCACCAACAAGAAAAGGTAAGATTTCCTTCTCAATTTGGCAACCGCCCAAAACTCAATCACAAAGATGAGGTCTTGCAAGAGAAATTTCCATATGAAGGGAGCCCATAACTAAGATGATGTTAGTTAAAAAATCACCATCTCATTCCTTGACATTTTCACCTAATCTATATGCTTGATTCATTCCCTTGAAAGAGGAAGATGACTGGATCTTTAAAACAAGTGTCATTGCTCTTATGCTCACCAACTTTACGAGTGAAAAAAGAAACACAATCTGTTAGTAAAATTTAATTATATCCTCAACTGTCCAAACACTCTTCCGA